AGGTTGCTTTGAATAGTATACTCATTTTCACTATATTGATTCTTCCAACCCACAAACATGGTATATTTCTCCATCTATTTGTGTCATCTTTGATTTCTTTCATCAGTGTTTTATAGTTCTCAATATTTTTGTTTCTTTGAGTAAATTTATTCCTAAGTGTTTTATTCTTTTCATTGCAGTGGTGAATGGCATTGTTTCTTTTGATTTTCTGTAAGAAAGATCTGTCCGTTGATGAAAGTGGGGTATAAAGTCTCCTATTATAATTCTGTTGCTGTCTGTATCTTTCTTTAGGTCTGTTAATATTTGTTTTATAAGCTTATTTGCTCCTATGTTGGGTGCATAAATATTTACAAATATTATATCCCCTTGTTGGGTTGACCTGTTTATCATTATGCAGTGTCATTCATTGTCTGTTGTTGTTTTAAAGTCTACTTTGTCCGATAGAAGTATAGCTACCTCAGCTTTCTATTGGTTTTTATTTGGATGGAAAATGTTTTTCCACCCCTTTACTTTCAGTCTGTGTATATTCCTACATCCGAAATGGGTCTCTTGTAGGCAGCACATCGATGGGTGTTATATATTCATCCACTCAGCCACTCCTTGTCTTTTGATTGTAGCATTGAGTACATTTACATTTAAAGTATATTGATAAGTATGTACTTATTCCCATTTTAATTGTTTTTGTCTGTTTTGTAGTTCCTCTGTTCCTTTATTTTCATGCTTTCTTCCTTTGTAATTTGATGATTTTCTTTAGTAGTATGCTAACATTTCTTTCTTTTTGCATATCAAATATAGGCTTATTCTTTACCTTGAGGCTTATGTATAACATAACAGTCTATTTAAAATTGATAACAAGTTTGATCCCATTCAGAAGCTCTACATTTTTACTCTTCCCTCCATTTTACATTTCTTTGCTCATGTGTGCTTGCATGCATGCTAAGTGGCTTCAGTCGTGTCTGACTCTTTGTGACCCTTTGGACTCCTCTGTCCATGCCAGGTTCCTCTGTCCATGGGATTCTTCAGTCAAGAATACTGGAGTGGGCTGCCATGCCCTCTTCCAGGGGATCTTCCCAACCCAGGGATCAAACCCACGTCTCTTATGTCTCCTGCATTGGCAAGCAGGTTCTTTACCACTAGCACCATCTGGGAAGCTTCTTCTTGTGTATGTCCTTAACTGATTACTGTAGTTAGTTATTTTTAGTACTTTTATCTTTAACTTTTATGCTAGCTTTATAAGTTATTAATCTACCACCTTTGCTATGTATTTGTAAATCTTTACCAGTGACACATACTTTCGTAGATTTTCCTGTTGGTAAATTAGTGCCCTTTCCATTGAGCTTAAAGAAGTCTTTATTATTTCTTGTAAGGTGACTTTAGTGGTGATGAAGTCCTGTAGCTTTTGCTTGTCTGGAGAACTGTTATCTATATTCTTCACTTCTCAAGTAGAGCTTTGCTGGGTAGAGTATTCTTGGTGGGAAGTTTTTTTTTTTAACTTTTAGCACTTAGAAAAATAAAGGCATTTCCTTCTGGCCTGCAAAGTTTTTGCTGAAAAATCTGCTGGTAATTTTATGGGTTTTTTGGGGTAACATGTTGTTTTTTTCTTGCTGTTTTAAAGATTCTCTCCTTATCTTTAACTATAATGTGTCTTGGCATGGATTTCTTTGCATTCATCTCATTTGGAACTCTTTCAGGTTCCCGGCAGGATTTTCTTTTTTTATGGATAAATAATATTCCATTGTATGTATGTGTTTGCACATGTATGTGTATCACATTTTCCTTATCCATATATTTGTTGATGGGCACTTATGTTGTTCCCATGTCTTGGCTATTGTAAATAATGCTCCAGTGAACATGGAGTGCAGATAACTCCTCATATAATGTTTTCATTTCCTTTGAATACATTCCCAGAAGTAGAATTGCTATAGCACATGGTAGTTCTATTTTTTATTTCTTGAAGAATCTTTATATATATATATATATATATATATATATATATATTTCCCCCCCCCCCCCATAGTGGCTGGACCAATTTACAGTATGGGGCAACAGCTTTAGTGCAGATGACTGTATGCAAATGAATGCTTGCTGAAAATTACCAGTTTTAGTTATCACAGGCTAAGCTTTGTGACCTGGCTGTATAGGCAGCTGCTGGCTTGTATGAGGGGCACAGGGAGCCCTTCAGGCCCCTCCTCCCAGTAAAACCAGCTCCAATTCCCAGATGCCTGAAATTCTATCATTTAGGGCTTTCTGACCTCTTAAAATTCATGTATCCTTGGACAGAAGCAGTAAATCTTTGTCTACTTATCAACTGCACTCCATTCCCAAGCATTTACTGAATATCTCCTGTATGAATGGTGTTCACTGGGTAGAACATTGGCTTTAGCAGTTTTTTGCTTGCATACTTCCTAAAGCAGTTTTGAAAATCTTCATATCTCATACATCTAAAATTTGACAACTAAACTTCTCATACTGATAAATTTAAATGTCTATAAAGGGCATAATTTTGATATATAATAAATATTGAAATTTAAAAAGAAAGTCTTTCATCACTCATTTAAATGTATCCAAGTAAATCTAATTACTGTGATGGTTTGATATACCATAAAATACACAAGCAGGCTCTTTTTTAACAGTTGGAAAATCTACATCATCTTTCTCCTTTGAGCCCTTATTTCCCTTCCCTTTCCCCAGAAAATTTTATCCTAACATAATACATTTTTCTTTGCTTGTGCTGTGTTAGTGATTTGCACAACAAAAATAATGAATATAAATTTAAATTCATTTTGAAAAAATTTCCTGTGATCATAAAAGCACTAAATGTTATGGTTTACACAGGATTGGATAGTTATCATCTTTATTAATAATACACAATTGACCAAGCTGATAAATACTTGACACATTTTAACTATTGAGAAAGTAAAAGTTTTTTGGAGCTGTATCATGTCATAGGATTCAAGGAGATAGTTTTTTCAATTAACTCAAGTACCCTAAGATGAATGTTGCTTCTTGTAAAAATGAATCATCATCCTATATTTTTATACTTATAGGTACAAGTGCCTGGAAAGTCTTGCTCACAAAAATAATTAAATGGGGATGGAAAGGATTTTGTTATAGCAACATCACTCAATCCTCTGAACTTTTTCTGAGTTGCATGCCAACAATCGCATAGTAATCTGTCATCAATTTATTTTAATAAATGTTTTATTTTAGAATTGTTTTAGATTTATAGAAGTTACAAAGCGTGTATAGAGAATTTCTGAATATCCCTCACCTAGTTTCACTGTTGTTAACATCTTCCATAACCCTGGTACATTCATCACAACTAAGAAACCTGCACTGGTACACTACTATTAACTAAACTCCATCAATCCTTTCTTTAATGATGAATCAGCTGCTAACTCAGTTTGGTATTTCTTCAGTTTTGTTGAAAGCACAGAATTAGAAACATCTGACTTGTGAAAGGATTTGTCATCCAGCCTTTGCCTTTCTTGTTTCCTGGAAAGTATATCAAAAAAGGCTTTACTAAGACTTACCATGTAATTGTTGATTATACCTGTTTCTCTTTTACTTGTCAAATTTGATACACTCAAATTGTTAGGAGAAACAAAATTGTGATAATTTTAATAGATCTTTGCTAATACCATATTTCTTAATAAAGTGCTTTCTGTCTTATCATTTATATAAACACCTTGAAGCATCAAATTTAGCTCATTTTATTTATAGAAAATGTTCCAGGTTAGCCATGTAACCTAAATGCCAAACCAGTCCTTATTTTTAAAGGACTTAGTAAAACTAGACCTTTTCAATGTCAGTAAAAATGTTAATGTGTTAATGAATTTGAGTATTAAAAGGGCAAATGGATAGGGCATGGGCCTTGCTCTGAATTTACTGTCCAGATCCTTCCTTCAGGAAGGCATAGCCACTTATCTCACCCCCTGCTTTCTTGATTTGCTCCCATTAGACCATCCTTCAGGAGTGATGTCCTTTTTGATAATAATTGGGGAAAGAAAGTGAAGTATCTAAACAAAAATTGCAATTGTGCTCACCTTCCTTACTCGACAATATAGCTGAATGTAAAATAAATCCCCAGATGAGCCAAAAAATCCATTTCTAATACATCCTTAACAGAAATGAAAGACTGAGAAAGGCACGTATCCCTTCTGGAAGGGTGGTGCGCCATGCAGCGTCTACTCTTGGGAACTGAGAAATGTTTGTCCAGCAAGATCCAGCATGAAGCCTTGATTGCTGGTGTAGATCACTCTTAGGGCTGATCCATTTCAGGAAGAAGTAAATACTTTAGGAAGCTGAGGATCTGGAGAGTAATTAAACCTTTCAACACAACATACCCTTGCATGGCTCTTGGAAACCCCAGGGTGTACATCCTTCAATGTGAATGATGCCAGAAAGAGGCCCAGGAGCCTGCCAAGATTCATGCCCACTGCTGGGGGTTGGGACATTTCAAGGGGGCAGATCAGCTCACCAACAGCCCCCATAAAGAGGCTTCTCCGAGGTGGGTCTTAGTGAAAGAAAGTGGGAGAATCTTACCTCCTGAGCTGGGGAGGCTTGGAGGGTGATGATCCTTGGTCTGCTTTTTTGGCTCTTTGAGAACTAAGTACCCAGAGCAGTTTGTTTTTTCCTCTCAGATGTGAATACTGTACAGGCATCTAGAAAGTGAAGACCCTGAATTAAGAGACATTTACTTGGTCTGCAGTTATACAAGCGTTTCTGTTGTAAATTATCACTGTGAAGTTTTGCCTTTAAGTCGCTTTTTTTTTTTTAAAGATTCTGAAGTGATGAAAATACAATTTAGCACTCTGTATGGAATTCTTGGACTTGAAAATAAGCCTGCAGCCCCCAAATGCTGAGAACTGGTAGTGGTTTAGTTTCCTGTTTTCTCTTGAGTATTATGGGCAAGGCTTTCTTTTCGCCTGTCAGAAAAGCCCAGATTCACGTGGTCTTCACCTGTGCGGGCCTCATACTGACTCTTCTATTTGTGTAAGAAGAAGCAGGGAGAAGTCAGCAAGGCCGCCAGCGCTGACAGCACGACTGAGGGCACGCCCGCCGATGGCTTCACTGTGCTCTCCACCAAGAGCCTCTTCCTCGGCCAGAAGGTAGGTCAGCGCTTGCCCCAGTCTGCTCATGGGCCCTGGGGTGGATGGGTGCCTCCACCAGCAGAAAGGCTGCCTGGGGACCACTCCTGGCCTCGTGGGCTGGCGGAGAGAGTAGGGGCGGGCGGTTTAGGAAAGAACTCGGGGAGGGCTGGGCCAGTTGCTGAGGGGAGATTGGCAGGTGGGGAGAGGAGATATGGTGGTGAAGAAGAGGGACAGTAGCTCCTGTGGGGTTGGAGACAGCCTGGGCTCGGTCTGTGGAAGGAGCTGCCTACATGGGAGGACCTGGTCATCCTATAATCCTGGCCAGAAAGTCAAAACCAGGGCCTGGAAAGAGAAAGATATAGCTGGCAGCCCAGGCATTCTGGTGGACACTGGAGGCGGAGCCTTGATCCAGGGGCCGGGATTGTTGCTAGACACACCGTGCCACCTGAGGAGTCCTCAAGCCAGGTGTTTGTTTTAACCGTGGGCAGTGTTTTCACCTGCCCCAGTGGTGCAGATTTGCCAGGACACTATATGGTTTTGTAACAGATGATTCACTTTTGTTGAAAATAAAAATGATGCAAAGGCTTTTAAGACCTCAGAAGGAGGGTTAATATTTCTCTGTTAACACCAAAAAAGGGGGTGGAGAGACAGTGGGAATTACTTGGCTGATTTTTTTTTTTAATCCTACATTAAAAAGTATTAAAGGCATGGATCTGAACTTCCACGTAAATTGCATTTAGTTCGAATGTGGTGAACAACTTGGTCCTGAAGCTGCATCATTTTTAAAAGCTCACCGTCAGTTTTCTTTTGCATCTCAGTGACACAGTCCTCCTGCTCACTTCATTGCAAGCCTTCTCCTCCCCCTCCCGCTTCCTGTCACTAATTGCACTCAGGCTCTCATGATGCAATTCCTGTGGTGGACTCTGTGTTCCAGCAAATAACCATTACAGTGTACATTTTATAACCATTGTCTGTATTTTGTATGCACTTTTCAAAGGGAAAATATAAGCAGCACTAGTTGTCATCTTAAGGTCTGGGGCTTTGAAAGTTTTGTGTAAAATATTTTTTATTGATAAAATTTCAGCACAGCAGTGAAGGCAACCACCTGGGCTTACTTTCACCCTTTAACCTGTCCTTTGGGTACTATATTGAAAATTAATGTGACCTGTCACCCAAGTTGCTTTGATTTGAACTAAAGTGTGAAAAAGCTCTGCGATTTAAGGACTAGCTTCAATGTGCTTTAGATCCCAAATGCTGACTATTAGCTGGCACTTGGAAGCCTGTTAAACAGGTAGAACAGTTCAGCCCAGGGGCCACCCTCTCCCTCACTCCTTCCCCTGCCCCACCCTTGGGTGCCTCTCCCTTCCCTGTGTTCTTGCTGTCTCCTGCTGTTTACTCCAAAACCAGCCTCAGATCAGAACTCCTCGCACCCCCTTGCAGGATCCCTACAGTGGCAGTACTTGGCCATACAGTGCCCGTGTACACATAGAGACGCTCTTCTTGGCCATGGGATCAGGGCCTCATGTGCTGCATATGCGGCCTGGGAGGGAGCCAGCAAAGGCTGCAGATTCATGGCTAGCACTGCTGCGACCAGGCAGCACCACCTGCCCCATGATGGGTATGGGTCTGGCCTCTGACCTCTCAGGGTCAGCACCACAGGCAGGAAAGTACCAGAAAGTACAAATCTAGTGAACACTGACTACACCCGACTTAGGTTGGAAGGGGAAGTCCAAAATGCCATAGAGAGGCACTGATACTGTAGAGTAATTTACAGGTGTGTTATCTAATACTATATAGGAAATACAGGAAAATGGAAGCAGTGGGCTCGACAGTGACGCTAACGTGGCTGTTCAGTATCTTGACTTTTGGAGGGAGAGCCTGAGAGGAGGGGCTGAGCTGGAGCCAGTGTTACATGGTCAGCTGTGAGAGAAGGGGCTGAGTGCAGAGCCGGAAGAAACACCCACCTTCTTTCCCTTGCAGCTTTACAACCCTAGATACACACATCCAGGGTGAGCTACCCCAGACCCAGTCCTGTAGGCACCATTTAGCAGAGTAAACTGTGTCTCCCCAAAATTGCTATCACAGAATAAATCAACATCTCATCAGCCGGGGCACCCTCTTAGAAGATAGTGTCCCTGGAACTCTGCCCCTGCAGCGTGAGAAAGGGAGTAGGTGTTCATAGTTAGCAGCGTTACTGTGAAGCAATACTTTCTGGCCCTCTGTTAGTTTTTACTGTCGGGGGAAAGTCATGGCATTTAGTGCAAAAGGGGCCTGAGTTGTTAGACTGACACACAGGAATTTTCATACAAAGCACATTTTAAAATGTCATTAGTACAGGCATTAATTTTGACTTGGATTTTTGGAAATGTTTCAGAAAGGATACTTCACAGTGATGACTGTATGGTACCCTATGTTCTACGAGTCTTGTTTTCCACCTGTGACAATGACACCGATGCTAGAGTAGTGCAGGCAAGCTGAGGTCAGAAAGGTGATACTGTGCTCACTACAGCCCTGAAAGGCATGGTTGCTAAGCTACTCGCAGGAGAAGCTGGCCCAGGGCTTAGGAGCCTGGGATCTAATTGTTGATGATGATGATGTATTTCACATACAGCTGTCTCAGGAGTAATCACTCTCATTATTCTTTGATTTTACCCAGTGTTCACATACATTGTTGAATTGTTTTCAAAAGGGAAACGGTACTGTGAATCCAAGTTGATGAGATGTGTTTGCTTTGTGATTCAGTGGAGATTCTCAGCGTCTTTTCAGAGATTTAAAAAGCTTCATGTTCAAAAGCAGTACTTCCAAGGTGTATTAGAAGTCTTTGTCAGTGGTAGTAAGTGATGTAGACTTCCCTGGAAGAGTCAGTGTTACTAGAAGCGGCCGGGAAGGCGGTGTCAGGAGGGCGTGCGTATGTGCCCTCCCCGCCCCCACCACACACTATCAGGATTGCAGCCAGACCCCTGTAGGCCGCTCGAGGCAGGGGTAGGCACCAGGGGTTTTCTTCCTCAGATCCAGACACCCTAGTCTCGGGGCTAGGGAACAGCGAAGAGAGAGAGGGCTCTTGAAGCAGTAACGTGGAGGAGAGGCCCACCACCCCCTTCCACCCCACGGCAGACAGTTTGCTTCTGAGACAGTTTAGGACACGGGCGATCCCATGCTTTTCCTCCAGCCGTGTCCTGAGTCCTTATCCTCGGGTGGCACATTCTAGCCTGAAGCGCACCAGACGCCACCACCAGGCCTGAGCCTCTGGGGGATTCGGACCAGGCACACGTGTGGGCTGGGCAGCGCAGCATAGAGGAGGAAGCCCCTTTATGTGAGGGGCCGGGGTGGGAGTGGGTCCTGAGGCAGGCCACAGGGACACGCGCTCTGTGAGGAGGTGGAGACAGTTCTGCGGAGGACCTCGCCTCTCCATTCGCCTTAGTTGAAGTGGACCCTGGGGACAGAAGAAGAGTTCCATTTTATGTGGTGGGTACAGGGAAAGAAGTCTTCTCCCTTGTCCATTGTGAGGGGATGAGAGAGAGAAAGCTTGGACTATGACAGTCTATACTCAGTCACTCAGATAATCTTTAATACTTTTATTCCCTAAAATTGAATTTCTGATCACATATGTTTAAAAAAAGGATTGTACTGCTTCCTTTAGCGAAGGAGGTTATGTCAAGATAGCCCAGATGTCCTTCCAGTAGCCCCAAGCCACCAGCTCCTTCCTTACCACAGGCAGGCTGCCTCCCAGCCAGCTCCAGGATGGCCAGGTCAGCTCTGAGCCAACCCAGGTCCCAGCCAGGACAAGGGCAGTTCCTGAGCTCTGACCTCGCCATATCCCTTCTTTCAGGGAAGCATCACAGAGTTGTGTTTGGATGTTTGATGTTCAATCCCAGCTCTGTTTGTGGGCCTACAGAGACCTGAGCACTGTCATAGGCATTGGATGGCCCTCTCTCTGCCTTCAAGGAGCTTACACCCTAACGAGTTCACATCAGAAGTAGACAACAAGGATTCACTCGGCATAACTCCTTGAGGGAAGACTGGGGACCGCAGACACCAGAGGCTGGCTGCAGCAGCGCCCAGTGACCTGGGCATCATCAGGCCCCCATGGTGGAGGAGATCCTGAAGGAGTCTTGGCTCAGCCCCTTCCCCCAGCCCCACAGCCCCTGGGGCCCTTTTCTGCTGTATGCCCGGCGATGCTCTTTGGTCACTTTCTCCGGTGGCCAGTAGTCTTCACAGATATTTTAAATTCACCATTCCGGAGTTTGAAACTTAGTTTTCCATCTTTCCCAATATTAAGACAAAGGAAGTAGTCACCTTACATTCCGAAATCATTAACAAGCCTCCCTCCTCCCAGAAAATCAGGCTCAACTTGGGAATGTTCACAGTGCCCCAGACATCTGATTTCCCAGCCCACAAACACTGCTGCTCTGCCATGTGCTTCAGACAGCTGTGCACCCCTTTGGGTGAGAGGCCCAAGTGGATTTGATCCTGGGTGGGTCTTTTGGGGGGGGGGGGTCGGTCCTTGGACCTCCTACTACTGGACATCTATTCTGGGCCTGCCAGGCCTGTTGGCATATGTCCTCTGCACATCCAGATCCTTTCCAGGCATGTGCATGCACAGCCTCTGCTTATCCTCCTGTCTAGGGGAGCTTCTGTCCTTGTTCATGATCAGATCACTGTCAGCTTCTGCACCTGGTCCAGCCTGTCCAAGCCAAGATGATTGCCCATGTACCTGTCCAGAGTGCCTGAAGCAATGTGTCCTCTCCCCTCCCCCTTCCTCTTCCCCCAACACAAACACAGACTGGGCCTCCCCCAAGCACAAACATTTTAAATAGCAATACTGTTTGGTGGCTCAGCCCCTCACCCTGAGGACTTCTTCTGAGCCTGGCACCTGGCAGAACAGAGTTGGGAAATCAAGGCTCGGATGTGGGTGAGAGTGAAGGTGCACTTGGTTAGCTAGGGCTTCTCCATGCTAGGGGCAGTGGCTCCCTGACAGGCAGGATTCTGTGATTCCAAGAGGGGGACTGCTTCCACTCAGAGGGAAGGTGAGCCCAGAGAGAACTGGGAATTCTGTTTGCAACCTCTCCTTCACTTCAGCAAGGCCCTGAAGCCCTATGGTTTCCCCAGAACACCCCTCCCGCTAAAGAGCGGGGGGCGGTTCTTCCGAGACAGAGACAGAATCTACCAGGGTCTCCCTGGCTAGTTGAATCAGAGCCCATGGAAATAGCTGATTTTCTGTTGAGGCTTTTCTGAATACAAATCCAGAAGCATCTATACAATTGAGGAAAAAAACAGCATGAATTTTAAAGATTTAAACATGTATGACTTTAAAACAAACCAAAAAAAATTTTTTTTAATTTAAAAAATAAACCTAAAAAATAAAATCTCCTAGATGTCTTTAAAGCGTATTCACCCATAACACCAAATGGAGTTTCCCCCGCCCCCTTCTCCTTTCCATTCCTCCTGCTAGAACCTCCTGCTGCTTCACACAGTGTGTTTTTATTTTTGGTGGAAGGAACGGGGAATATTGGCTTAATTTGAGCTTTTATAAACAGCATTTGCTTGAAGTCATACGCAATACGTACATGATACATAATCAAACCCTTTGCCTTGTCCTGAAGCTTCACTTGCCTTACTCTGAGATCACACCCCATCCACACCCCTTCCCCTTGAGCACAACCATGAGTACCCTCGCCCCAATGCCATCCCTTCTGTGCCTCTGTCCTGGCACCAGGGCCCACATGTGCTTCTGAGCACGTCACTGTGTGAGGTCACCTCGGTGGGCATCCTTCAGCTGCCAGAATGTCAGGGCCCCTGATCACCCTGCAGTGCTGGGACTTGCACCCCAGAAAGTGTAAGTGGAGAGAGCTTGTGCGTCTACTCCCTTTGAGCCTTAACTGAAGATGAGGCCTCCCTTCGCTGTGGCGGGGCCTAGCCAGGGTCCTTCCCTGGCCATAAGACCAATTCATTTCCACAACTTTTAGTTTAAGCAGGTCCCTGTTTTGAGAATCTGCTTATTGCTTCTGGGAATCAGAAATGGGGGGTAATATTTCTATTGCTTATAGGATGTCAGGGTTTGGATTGTTTTAGTTTTGTCTGCAACAAAATGTCTGGCCCCAGAAATTCAGTCACTTGGAGCTCAGTGGCCAGGAGCATCCCGGCTGAGTGTCCGCACATGGCCCCGTCCTGGGGGATGAACGCCTGCCCCGCTGGGCCCAGTGGGTGTGGTCAGCTCCCCTAGCCAGGCTTGCAGTTTTCTTGGTCAGCAGCTCCTCTGGGGGCCGCTTGGGCATGGCTCTCTGTGCAGCTGGTTGGAATTTCTGTCACCTAAGAACAGCCATCTTCCCTGGGAGAGAGTGAGCGCCCCACTGCAGGCACTTGGGCCTGAGAGCAGGAAGGGGAGTCCTGGGCCAGCTCAACCCTCCTGCACCTCTGACAGCCTCTCAGAGTGAGGGTTGCTGTGGCACCAGAATAGCAGCAGGGAGGCAGGACTTGCAGTGGCGCTTTATAAGGACTCAGCTGGTGGGGTACTCATAAAAGTCACTCAAGGAAAGCACTCTACCCATTGCGCCTTGGAGTAGCCTCACCGACAAGGTGAACACAGTTTAAAAGACAAACTGTCTTGCTGGAGAACTGCTGTGTCTGTTCCTGGGTTTGGCCAGATCTTCAGCATCATATAACTAACAGGCGTGTAAAATTAGATGTTACTAAATAACAGACCATTCTCGCTCACCACCCCTGAGCAGGGCATGGGAGCCACTTAGCCAGTGTTCACAGTGACAAGAAGAGCTTAAGAGACCCATGGCCACTTGGAAGAGAATGGCAGGGCTGCTAGGGGTTTGCCCAAACCAGCTAGGACTTCTGTAGCATCCCAGTGCTCAAAGAGGACAGTCCCATATACCCCCGACCCTACCCCAGCCATGATTACTTGACTCTGGGTCCTGAGAGCTGCTGTACCTTGGCACCCAGATCACAAATTCTTTTAAAGGAAGGTGGATCCCCCAGTCTGACTTGGCTTAGGCTTCCCTTTGGCCCCAGGCATCACCAAACAGGTTCTGGACCCTCAGCCTAGTTTGCTTCTTTGTAGCATCCTGAGTGGCATTTGAGTCTTTTGTTTGAAATGGATTCATTTTAGCCAGTGAGTCCCTCTTCCCCTTTGTGCCCAGTGCACCTGGAGTATCCCCTGCCCTTCATCTATATCCCAAGGCTCCCATTTCTGTGACTTCCCAGCTGTCCTGTTATTTCCCACCTCATGCTTTTCTTTTCAGCTGAACCTTATTCACAGTGAAATCAGTAATTTAGCCGGCTTTGAGGTGGAGGCCATAATCAATCCTACCAATGCTGACATTGACCTTAAAGATGACCTAGGTAATTGGGGATGGGGTTTGGCACCATCAGCTGTCAGTTGAAAAGTTATGGAACCCAGAATTTAGGCTCTTCACCTTCTCAAATTTCAGATGGTCAAACTAAATTCCCAAAACCGAGATTAATATTTGAGGGTAGACACTGAATGTCTACTTACTCTAAGCCCTTCCAACTGGGAATGATGTGATTATGTTTTGTTAAGCCCTATTGGCTGCTTTCCCCTTGATTATAAATATATTGCCATCTAAATTCTCTTCCATAATGATCACACTGACTGCTGGTTACTTTGGGGGGGATTTTTTAAAACTGTGGTTTTTTTTGTTTTTTTGTTTTTTTTAAGAATTGAAACATCTCAGGTAACTACAAAATGAGTTTCTCCATTTAAGCCTTAATTAGAAATGACAGTTAAACAAAGCATGAAAACACTTGAGAAGGGAGACAGTTAACCTGCACATCAGGATATTATTAAGTTGTCTTTCATCCACCAGCAAATTGGATTCCCCTAAATTTACCATGTACTGCCACTTCAACTTTTTCTACAACTGAAAACAGTATATGACTGGGTGCCACCTTCATGAATTCTTTGGCTTGAGTATGATATTAGAGAGAAGGCACTCACTCTCTCTGAGTGAGTTCCTCTGGAGGAAAACTATGCCAGAGCTGTGGAGTCCCTGCCCAGGAGGGTGGACAGTTCAGGACAAGCTGAGAGGTAGCTCTCGGGAGTCCCACTCTGTGGTCTCACCTTTGTAGAGGGGACCCGTCGGCTCAGGGCACAGCGAAGGCTCCTGTCTCCTTAGCTGTGAGCCTTGCAGGGGCAGCAGGCTATCACGTGCCCACCAAGGCAGCCATGTGTCTGGTACTGACTTAGGTATGTTTTATGTGCCTTTAGCTCTCATCCTTGGCCGCCTCTGTAAGATGGCAGATTTCCTTATCGGGAGAGACGCCCGTGCCAGAGCCCGGGCCCAACCCACACGCGCTGGGTGCAGTAGTGGGCTGAAGACAAGAACACTGGGACTCAAAAAGGCCCTGTTGAACTTGTTTTCCAACTGCCTTAAACAGATCCTTTCATTTTTTTAGGGGGAAAAAAAAAAAGCCCACAAGCTAGAAAAGGGGAGGATTCATCTATTCACAGTATACATAAAAACAAGATTAGAATAACAGGTAGGCCTAGAAAAATATTTTTACACATCTAAGGGGAAGAATAAAGGCACTCCTCTGTGCACACCTATACTGTTTTCTCCGTTTTCAAGAAATGTCCCTTGAAGGTAGACAAAATGATGAACTTAACAGGAATAAGAATCAAACCCTAAACGGTGACTGCTGCCGAGAAAATGGAGAAACTTGTTGTTTTGGTTGGCCTGATAGTCCACATTTAAAAAAAAAAAACAGATGCCATGTTTTAATAGCCTTCTCAGTGGGGTGCCAGTCTTACAGGCTTTTGCGAAGTGAAAAGGGGCATTCGTTGTTCTTTCTTTTAACCTTTGGAAATGATCTCGTGTGTGTTTCTCTTTTTTTTGGACCTATCATTCAAATGTTTAATTTAAACATGTCACATTTGATATCCCTCCCCCTCCTCCGCTCACCCCCACCCACACGTGCGCACACCTCGTGGACTGACTGCCCTTTGGCTCGTATGTTGGAATCGACCAGGTAGGCCAGCCCTGCCACTGGGGCCTTAGTAAATGTGCCTGTGCGTGGGTCTCGGTCCAACACAGTTGATATACATTTGTTTACCTGTTATAGTTGCAAGTTGTACAGGCTGACATTGCCTCGATCGACAGTGATGCTGTCGTTCACCCGACAAACACTGACTTCTACACCGGTGGTGAAGTAGGTAATGCCTAGCGGGGTGCTGCCGAGTGTGTGTGTGCATGGTCAGTCGGCCGCCGCAGACAGCTTGATCCTCTGACAGCTATGCAGGGCTGCATTCATTTCACACTTCCAGCTGTCCTGACCTTCCCCAGGTCTCCTGTCCCCGGGTCGTGAATGCGAGAAGTACAGCTAACTGTCAGCCAGGTTGCATCATGCCGCTCCCAGCTGGGCCCACTTCTGGTTTGGAAACTGGTTCAGCAACATCGTGTCCTCACTTGCTTCCTGAGGCACAGCTTTGTTGGAGACTGAGTTCACGTGTGATCTGAAGCTGCCAGAGGGATGCAGCCTGATGGGCTGCGTGGCATCCATGACCGCTTCTGTGGACCAGACACGTAGGAACGCCTGTGCACAGAAGCACAGGTCTGCGTCAGAAGCACGCTCGTTCCTAACAGTGGCCTTCAACCTTAAGTGCATGCTGGAGGAACTTGACAACCCTCTCCCACGCTCGTGTTCTCAGACCTTAAGTGCACGAAGGTCCCCTCATTCTGATGTCGTGTTTCTGGACACTCTTGAGAAACACTCTCCTGGGTCCATAGAGCCCCTTCCTCTCCCCAGCAGCTGACCCACATGGTGGCATCTGGCACTAAGTCCCCTTCCTCTCCCCAGCAGCTGACCCACATGGTGGCATCTGGCACTAAGTAGCTGGCATCTGGCCCTAAGTAGCTGCGGGTGGGGCAAGGCAAAATGAGCATGCAGGGCGCCAAGACTCTGTGGCTGCAGACTGGCATAGACAGTGCCCTGCTGTACGAATGTGTTGAGGGGCTTCTGTAACGTGGGTGTGATGGCAAAACAGCACAGGTTTGGAGCTAGGTAGAAGAATCCTGAATCCTGAATCCTAACCTTACCATCTACCAGATTTGGGGCCTTGGCAAGTCACCTAACTCCTCAGTGCCTTGGTTTCCCTATCCATAAAATAGTGTTAACAATGAGAATTGTGTTGAATTATGTTAAATCATGTAAGCAAAGCACCCTGCTTCACGTCTGGCTCGTGATAGGGGCTTACCGTTGTGGTCTTGTTCTCAGGGGCATGTATGATTTTTACAGTAGGTGTGCTGATCCTGAGAGCAGCATTTCTGAGTGTAGATTCCAACACCTGCTTCCAGAGAGAATGGATACATTTCTATTAAGGGCAAAAGTGAAGTCATCTTGAAGAAGGATGAGGCTGTAGGGATCTGCGTGAGTGTCCCAGACACTAGAAGCACAGCAGCTTAGCGATCTGTATCTGTCCAGCTCTGCTCAGTGTCTGTCACAAAGCCCGCTGCTCACAGTCTGCCCCAGCCACTGGGATTTGGGCTGATTGCTCTCCTGGGCGTTTTGGATTTTGGATAAAGATGGAAAGACAAACTGGATGGAAAGTCGGGATTTGCCAAACCTGCTAGGCCCAGATGAAATCAGGCTGTAGGCAATTAAAATAAACTCCCCTTTCTCAAGATTTTGGAGGAGTTTAAGAGCTCCTAAGTCAAGCAACTTAAGAGAAAGATACTTCCTTTCTTAACCAAGTGAAAACTTGATGGGAGGGAAGTGCTGATTTGGAGGAAAATAAACGAACAGCCAAGGGCTTCTCTTTTCAGCCAGGATTGGCTAAAGCCTGGGTTCATCCTGCCATCCCGGACTTTGGGTGAAATGGAAATTATGAAACTTGCTGGGCAAAATAATCTTGCCCAGGGGAGAGAAAGGAAGGGCCAGCCTGCTGCCACTGGAGAAGTCTTTCCTCAGGATTAGCCACACCAAGAGGTGGAGCTGGAGGCTTTGAGGCCAGAAGGGGCCAGCTAGGGTAACAGGCAGAGCCAACTGTCCCCACATTACAAGAGCCCAGTCCTTCCTAAACCATGAATGGAACTGGTCTCCTTGGAATAATGACAGTGCTAGTGCTTTTCTCTCGGACACGTGTGCCCTTAACCCACTCATGTGCACAGGGCAGGGAAGAGCAGCCTCAGTGACATGTAATTAACTCAGGTCTGAGAGCTCTGCCAAGGCTGCCTGGCATGTCACTCACAGACACTGTCAAAACAGGTCCAGACAACCTGACTGGCCAGGGAGCAAGATTGTGCCAGGACTAGAACTCAGGGCTTCCAAAGCCCACCTCTGTGCTTTTTCTCTGAACCAGTCCAAACTAGAACTGAACCCAGATCTCTTACAATACCAAAATAATGATCAACCAGATTCACACATGGTCTCAATTGGTTCCAGCTCCCACTTTGATGTGTGAGAGGGGAAAAGAGGAAGCGAGGATGTAATCACTCCACTTCTCATATTTGGTGTGAATTCCCGAGTCCTGAGACTGCTGGAAGAAGGAATGCGAGTGCAGGAATGCTTAGCCCCAGTGATTAACTTTTACCCATCAAAAAGTTCTTTCTAACAGTGAAATAGACCACAGGCTGAGCCTGACATTTGTCCAAGCCTAAATTTTTGCTTAGGCTGTTTTGAACACTGATACTTATGCCTGCTTTCTAAGCATGAAATAATGTTCTTGTTCTCATGGGAGTAACACATGTTTATGCTTGGGGGCAAATAAGCCAATTGCTTTATGATTAACCCTGAAGTTAAGCCTAAAAGCAAGAGTCTTACATTAAGAGTGTTGACAATACAGTTGAAATGGGCCTGTTTCTTGTTAAAAAGTACACGTGTGTCTACATGAACATGTGCATACATATGTGTGTGTAGGAGTCAAGTCCTGACCGGGTTGATTGCCTGCAATCTAGGGTTCAATTTTTAAGTTTGGGAAATGCATTAAGTGTAATTTAATGTGCAAATTTCACTTCTAATTAAAGCAAGATTTAATTATAAGTAAAAATTTTAAAGTAAACACTCTTCCTAAGATAAAACACCTTTAATTATAAATCAGCCCATTTTCTTAGTATTTTCTATTTCAGAAAGGTGTCAGTAGTATTAATACAGCACTGATTTTATCTTCCAAATTTCCCATTCCCCCTAAAGAGTAGGTAGAATAAAGAATGTGTCCTGAAATAGTCCTGCCTAGAGCATGTTTGTATCCATCTCTCAGGCTGGAGGATGGATATGGAGGGAAGGCCAGACCAGGTGTAGCTGGGCAGCAGTGTTTGGGATCCAGCGGATTTAGACTTCAGATTCATTTCTCTCGGCTGCATGGATATTTCGGGTGAACCTGTAACTGGGCCTCATTCACCTGGGTTGTAGCCTCAAACTCTCCACTTCCCGCTGGTTGGAGCCGGGCCATGTGGCCCAGGCCTGCTCCCCTAAGCCCACTGGCCACTGTCCCTGATGCTGAACTTTGTCACAAACAGAGGCCGCTACCGCTGTCAGTGAAAGTCTTTGAAGCGGGTGGGTGTGTTTTACCTCTGCACGCCTCTGCCATTTAAAGCCCACTTCACCGCTTTCCAAGACAGGTGAAGGTTTGTGGGCAGTCCAGGCTAACGAGGAGGGGCACTGGATCCCACCTCAGGGATCCCACATTAATCTCTGTCTGAAAGCCAGGCCTTCTCCTAGCTGAGAGCTCCTCATGGGTGACGGCTTGCTGTTCACATTCATTCAGGCCCCCAGACTTCGTGGAGTGGGCGGCTTATAGGTGGTGCTTGCCAGTAGCCCTTGTGCTGACTTATTTGTGACAGTGCCCAGGCCATCTGCTTTTCCTTCTAGACACTTCCTGGAGTTACTTCACACCCCTCCACAACAACATGCTAATGAGGCAGGTTTCTCTAAGATCATCAGACCTAGTCATTCCAGGGTGAATCCAAAGAGAATCTGGGCTGGTGCATCCCAGTGCACGCTGACTGACCCATGCCAGAATGTGTCAGGGGCACCTAGAATTTTCCATGACAGATGGTGAATCTTAAGGGGAGTACTTTATCCTCTTGTGAGGAATGTGCTTTAAAATGTGCACAGCTGAGGAGGCAGAGCTTAGGGAAGACTGGGACCCCATGCTGGCCAGGCTTAAAAGGGCGACTCTGATTGGTGCTCCCTGGCGAGACGTTCAACCCACAGACCTATTACAGGCGCTGATGATTGTGTTTGGGAACTTGGCTTTCATAGCAGGCACTGATTACTTAGTAAGTACCCTAATTTAAGAAGTAGTGCTCCCAAAATCCCATTTGATTTTTAAAACCTGGTCCTGAACAGACATCCTTCTTTCCAAGCTTTGATATAAGGTCATCTTTAAGCTCTGTTTCTGATGTTGCCCTCCACTACCTAAAACAATTCTGAATCATTAGTGTGATTAAGGAAATATTGTCTGAGGCCATTTTTTTTTTTTTAATTCACATATGACACCAAAGCTGCAAAATAGAAACTAAGCATTGGTAGTAGTGCTAGTCCAAAGGTGGCCAAATCTGAATGCTTTCTTCTGGGCCTGCTGCCAAGAGGAGAGCTAGCTGCCTGATGGAAGCCTGGTATGCTTCTTCTAAAACCTCCTTATTTGGGGGTTCTCCCCAGAGACAGAGAAGAAAATCCAGGGGGAGGCATCAGCCTTGGAAGCCAGCACCATCTGGTTTCTCACGCTGATGGAAAGCATGCGAGACAGGCGTGCTTGCAGAGAACAGGCGTCTCCTCCACATCTCTGGCACGTCCAGGATCACCCCAAGTCACCCCCACATAGAGGGGCAGCAAAGGTGGCCCGGTGACCAGCTGTGCAGAGTGGTGACTGGCTGATAGTGAATCTCTTCTAAATTTCACTTTTCTGACTCAGCCACAGCTTTGTTCCTATCTTGCAGCTGCCTGGAAATTTAGCTGGTCAGATCATTTTTAGTACGTAATCATCTGACATGCTAAGTGTCTGTGTGTGCCCTGGGACCCAGGGATGGCGACCTGACCTCACCCTGTTCTTGTCTAGGAAACACACTAGAGAAGAAAGGTGGCAAGGAGTTTGTGGAAGCTGTCCTGGAACTCCGGAAAAAGAACGGGCCCTTGGAAGTAGCTGGAGGTAAGGAGGGGCAGCACCCTGATGATCTGGAAATGGTACATGCTGTATCATGGAAACCATTTTACAGTACAGATTAGAATTCAGAGGTGTATGGGTGTCTCCGAGATGAGGGCAGAAGAAAGCCTGGTAGACTTTTTATCACATGCTAATTGTCAGGGGAATTAGGGGTTGTGAAAATTGCCTTTCTAAACTTTTTTCCTTATTACTTAAAATAGCTTCTAAATGGTTGGTGTCTAGCCCTCAAATTTTAAGCAGTTACAGAAGCCAAACTTGGCAAATCTGAGAGCCAAGAATTACAGTGATACTGAGCCATCTGCAAAATTGCTGATGAGAGATGCAAATGAATCATTCCCATTCAGCCGTCTGTGTTTTTAATGGGAGAAATACAAATATACATCTGTCATTTGCCAGTTACACCTTTCCTGATAAGAGGGGTAAGAAAATGAAGTGTGAGATGAGGAGAGTTACTGCTGAGAACTCAAGACAGGCCACTACTCACGGCTGCCAGCCTGGACCGGGGGATTTTAGGTGGACACAGGGTTTCCCGAGCACCTGAGAGTCAGGATGGGGGCAAGGCTGGCTCACCCCCCAGCTGTGTGAGAACAGCTTCCTTTCTCTCTGGGCTCGTTTCCTCTTCCTACTAGATGGTTCCCCAATGCCCATTCCACATCCTATTTATGATTTTTAAAATGAATCTTAATTAAATATGGGCATCAATGGTTCCTAGGTCACACCCACACAGCCTTCTCTGAGGGTCCCCCAGGCCTTACGCTTCCTTCCCCAGTGCTTGCACGTGACCTCTCATCCTAGGCTAGTCATGGGTCCCAGCGGGGATAAAAGGATGGCTTTGCATTTGACCTCTGCTCAGCCAGTTCAGTTCTGTTTTGCCTACAAAGGGCAAGACACTGTGGAGAGTTTGTGGGGGCACAGTTACCTAGCTCTTGGAGGCAGTTGCCCTTGAAACTGCCCACACTGAACAGGGAAGACACACGCAGCATAAAGCACCCAGCCAGGGGCTCCTGGCCTTTCCTCAGCCCCCGCCTGGCACTCTCTGTGCCAGCCCGGCGTCCTTCCCATTGGTGCTTCAGTTCAAGCCGGTTTGGGTGGCCCTCAGCGGGAGGTGTGATGAGAGGGGGCCCTGATGCTGCCACACACCATCTTAGCTGGCGACAGAGGAGCCACAGCTGGTGCCAACCCATTAGACTTAGCACAACTAAAGGTACGTTTGCTTGTTTCAAAAACAAGAACACATTTTGTTCTTTATTCTAAGATTTTAGAAAATGTTTAAAAATATTTTTAAGTATGAAGGAAATAGATAATCACTGCTAACACAGGTTTTGTCGTTTCCAAGCATGGTTTAGCAGTTACTTCTCATGTGGGCAGACCTGTGAATTAGGTCCCGCAGTGTCAGTCAAGCCTGCAGTTTTTGAACCAGTCAGCAGAGCCAGGACTCAAAGTCAGACCTGTGACTTTGGGTTCAGACTGTTGCTGCTGCACCATGAGACACTTCTCACAAACCCCCTTCGGATTCTGCTAGTCACATAGCAGACCCAGTAACAACCAAGACCCCTGGATAGCACTTGGCTGTTCTTCACAAACTGGGTTTAGGGAACATTTGATCAAAAAGGTTTGGGTGTCTTAGTGGAACAGTGGGTGGTTATGTGAGTGTGCTCCAGTACAGAAATCTGGCAGGCAGCATTCATCAGACACCTTGGTTCTAGAACCACCTTTGTGCTGCAGCTTTTGGGATGGGAATCCTAGAATGTGCTCTGGGAGCCATGGGCTGACCTGTCACATATCCTGGTGGGAGCAGACCCAGGACCATTGTCTTTAGATCTGACCCAGGGTGGAGAGTGAGAACACTCCTGGAAAGGCAGGTCTGCTCTAGAGATCTTTAGCTGGAAAGAGGCTTCTTCTAAGAGGAAAAGAGTAAGATGGAAAATAGTTCCATCCTAGAAACACCGTCCAATTAATTCTGTCAAAACTAGCAGGATGGGTTAGTCAGGGAGAAGACTAGAGCAGCAGACATGCTATTTAGATTACTTTCCCAATAGGTTTATTCTGAACTGTGTCTTGAGAGATTTATAGATACATCATAATTAAATGCACATGAATCCACTTGAGGAAAAGGCAGTTGGAGACCCCAGAAGGCAATTAATTGGAGGCTACAAACATTCTGACACATTTGGTCAAGTTAGATGGTTAAGGCCCTGCCTTGTGACCTTGGCTAAAGTTCCTGGTGGTGATTCATCCTAACACCAACTTCCCAGGGGTGGGGGTGGGTGTCCCCCTTACCAAGGGAAGAGACTCTGGGACCAGGCAGTCTGGAGGGATGTGCTGGAGAGTGGTACTTGTGCTTTGTGTGGGAACCCCACTCACTGCTCCCATCGCATCCCCTGCAGCTGCTGTCAGCGCAGGCCATGGCCTGCCCGCCAAGTTTGTGATCCACTGTAATAGTCCCGTCTGGGGTGCAGACAAGTGTGAGGAACTTCTGGAAAAGACGGTGAAGAACTGCTTGGCACTGGCAGATGACAAGAAGCTGAAGTCCATTGCCTTTCCATCCATCGGTAGCGGCAGGTAAGGGCATGTGGCTCTCTCCCCGATGTATGTGGGCCACGCTTGCAGAGAGCTCTGTGCACATGGTCAGCTGAGGCTGCATCCAGCGCTCTCTGGGCAAAGCCCTCTGCCCCTTGCCTGTGGGTTCCCAAGCGTTCTCCACCCCCCTCTCTACCTGTGTCTCACTGCCCTGCACATGAGGTAGATCTGAGTGGGAAGGTACGTGAAACAGGGCTGCCCCCTCTTCCCAGCCCTGACATCTCCCCAGGGAGACTTACAGAGATTGTGGGGAGCAGTACAACTGCCCCTAAGACACACACACAACCCAGAGGGGCAGCCCTGGAAGGGTGTAGTTGTTGAACCTCTAATGGGGCAGGTAGGACTCAGCTTCAAACCCCAACCACAAACCCCCCACGTCCCGCAGTGGTACACCCCAGATGTCAGCACACAGCCCACAAGGTCCCTGCCTGTCAGCAGCACTGTGCTCAGACTTGGGCCTGGCTAACCAGGCGAGTGATAGCAGGCAAACGAACCCCCCACTCTGGCTCTAACCCCCTACCCTGTAAAAGAAACGTGATCATCCCCCACTACCCCGACGCAGCATCTCAGGACTGCTCAGACATCAAGGTGCTCTCTGAAAAGAGCATGCTTTGAGAACTCTGCCATGAAGAAGGTGGGATGGCTGCCTCTGAGGCTGTGTCTCACTGCCTGTCACATCTCTAGGCTCCTCCCTCCCCAGGGTCTGAGCCTCAGGCCTCTAGAAGCCTCACCCTCTGAACAGGGCACAGTAGCAAGTGGAAAGTGGCCTTCAGAGCTGCTGCAGCCCAGGGCACTGTGTCGGCAGGTAGCTGTCCCTGGGGCATCCTGCGCACATGGAGAGCCTTGCAGGGTCTCTGCTATCCATGCTTCCCAGTACCTGAAGAAGGTGGGCTGTACAGTACCGCATGGGTCCAGCACACTGATGTCCTATGACACGGCCAGCTACGTTGTCCTTCTGGGCCAGAACCATTTCTTGTGCATACAGAAAGCTGCTCTTTTCAAAGGACTCCCCTTTCAAACCCACAAGGACAGAGAGTGGACTTTGCTGTTTTTAGCCTTGTGCAGACCTTGTAATGCTGCTTCCCTGAACAGTGTCATCACTGAGGGTCCCACAGCCTAAGTGCTGCGGCCGGTCCTGGGACTTCTGCTCCAGCAGAGCTTAGCCGTTATACCCAGAAGATCTTGCCTATAGGCAGACAGGCACCATGCACCAGGGCTTCTGAGGGGTCATGGTGGTCACACCAGAGGAGCTGATACGGGAAAACTCTTCCTCTGAAGCCTCTCTCCATCCCCCTCCAGCAAGGACAGAAGGAGCATCCCCCTGCTGCCCCTCCTGAAGATGAGCTATGACTGCCACGCCTCCTCTCTCAGGCTCTGCAGTTCTGGGCAGTGGGAGGGGGCACAAGGGCCCCACTGTGGAAGTGGGCTCTCTTCTGGGGCCTACCAGTGGAGCTGGTGCATGGGGGGGGGGACCCTGAACAAAGGACAAGTGAAAGTGCACACCGCCCCAGCCTTGAGTTCCCATGCTCACCCTGCCCTGTGTTCTAGCCCCTTCACCTCCAAGTGCAGGTAAGTCCAGAATCAACACCATTGTTGTTTTGGAATGCCATCTGTCTTTCTAGTTGCCATGCATCTTCATTCTATTTTCTGCCAGAAGCAAAACTTGACCATCATTTTAAAAGTCAATACCATGTAACTGCATATTGAGAAGAAAGCAAAGCTGACAGAGCTAGAGCATCTAACAGCCCTTTCAGTTGGTTCTAAGAGCACCTGGCAAAGACACGCACCCTTCATAAGGTAGTCAGCAAGCAGCCAGCAGACCGAATTTCCCCAGGAACTGTGGAGATGTGAGTAGGGACTGACCCTACTCGGTCCCAGAGTCAAGGTGTTTTGTTTTTTTTTTTTTAAATAACGTGCTCTTGGATCTGGGCATAATTAGCTAGTTTCCTGCTTCTCCCACTTGCCCATCCTCCGACAGAAATTCTATTCTGTGGCATGGCTCTGCTGTGTGACCTTTGGGAAATGAATTACCCTCTCTGACCCTGGCTGGCCTTATCAGCTAGTGAGGCTAAGGGACTGCCCTTCCTCACAGACGGTTCTAAGGCACAGTTAATTAGCATTTCAGATGCACTTTGATCTACTCTGATGAAAGGTGCTTCCGAGGAGAGAAGCAATAGAGGAGTCTTTATTGGAGGTAATTATTTCACGCTCTTTCATATGACTATTGGGAAATTTTTAATTGAAGCATAAAAGTCATACCCATAAAAAGAGCATCTGTTATTACAAACTTATTTACATTTTTCACGGAGTAAAATGTTTTAAAAAATAATCAGTTGAAAGCTTTTAAGAGGGCAGAATGCCAAAGACAAGCACATGTGCATTGCCGCCCGGCCCCACATCTGTGGGGCAGACCTCGCCCCACAGAGCCATGTAAACAGCTGCCCTCCCTTTCATGAGCAGAGAATGGGATTACACAAGAGCCGGCCAGTAAATCACAGTGGGGTTTAGGAGGGGAAATAAAACAGCTTGTTTGTGGCATCCAGTGTCTCCAGCATAAAAGTCATGCTAAAATTAAAACAATATAAATGCAAACATGTTGGTGAAGGGCTGTGGGATCACTTTCTCTTGGCCAAGGCCCAGTGTCACAGGCCTGTGGAGGATGACCACAGCCCTGCACTGCCTTCCTAGAGCCCACCGAAGGCAAATGAGACCCCCACAGTGTAACCCCGGGCATCCTGCTCACAGTATTTATGGATCCCCCCACTCCCTCCGCTCTGTTTGACATTAGGGGACGACCCCTCTCCGGAGGGGCAGTACTTGGGGAATAGCTAGTGTGGGGCTTTGATTAAACTCTCCTTAGATTTATGAGCCTAAAAAGGAAAGCCAGTTTGTTTTCTTCAAACTACCATTTATGGCTGTTCATTGAGTTTCAGGAGTGGTGCTAAACCTTCTATCTGCAGTATCCTCACAGCAATCCCACAAGGTGAGCAGCACTGTTAATTCCACTCAAAGGCAAAGAAGGGGAAGCTTAGAGCGGTTAAGTCACTCACCAGAGGTCACACAGCACGTACTTGTAGAGCCAGCTTTTCGTCCGAGGCCCTTGGCTCCAGTGCTCTTGATATTAGGCACATGGAACCCCCACCTGCTGTCCCCTCTGGTCAGCCTTGCCAGAGGATCACACCACTCCTTGTGCACTCTCTGTGGGAGTAGATTTTAGAGAACCTTGGAAACACTGGTCGGAATTCCCTGACCTGCCCAGGCACAGCATCAGCCTCCCTGCTCCCTGGGCATGGGCCTTAGAAGACAAATACAAAGAGCAGAGACAAACTCTATTGGGGAGAATTACTTACATGAGCCCTGGAGAGAAGGTAGGAGGCCTCAGGGGGGTTGTGTTGCCCTGGCCTCTCTTTGGCTTTGGAGGCACTGTGTTGGATGCCAATGCCTTCTGAATTTTAGCTTCACTCTCTTGTAACCCACCGCTCTCAGCTCGGACCCTGAGCGCCTGGTCTTTACCTCTGGATAGGGTTGTCTCTGGTTGGAGTTATTCAAAGCCAGACAGAGCACAGGAAGGCCCAGGAGCACAGTGTGAAGGAGACCTACACCCAGCAGACGGGGTCCACATGGGGCGACAGACACTCTGCCCGCATCACCCAAGCTGCCCTGCCCTATCCATCTTCCAAACAGCCGAGACAGTTAAACAGGTGGCCTGGTCCAATATGAAAACCAGAGTCCATCTAGAAGCCACTTTTGTTCTTAGGCTTGGGCCCCTAGTCTTTCTCCTTCAGAAAATCCATCTGGGTTCTCCAGCTCCCAAGCCACAGCCTCTCCTCACAGGAATCTCTGGGTCCCTGGTCAGCCTCCTCAGCACTGCCCTGGCCTCCAGTCATGCAGGCCTGCCTTACCCAGCCCTGGAGGCCAAGCTCACTGGAAGCAGGGATGCCTGGCAAAGCCCTAAATGAAGAGGGGCTCAGCCCAGCTGGAGGCAGGAAACCCTCTTCTGTGCCATGTGAACCCAAAATCTCTGCCGTCCAGATGGGACAGTAGACAGGAAACTGGTGTGTACAGATAGCCCCTAGCCATCGGCGAGCACCACAAGGTGGTAGCCCATGGGGTCCACTTGCAACAGTCAGGGAGACTGAGGCCTCAGCCACAACTGGAGTGACTTCAGGGAAGCTCAGACACCTTCTTAGTCTGGTCAAGACAGTGCAATAAAAAAAGGTCAAAGTGTAAGATAAACTCTCTGAGGGGTGGGAAGCCCTTTCTCGCAAAGCAACTTAAGACACAGCATAAGCACACCTGGCTGAGTCAGGGCCACAGGGGAACGTGGGGGCTCCCAGCTCTCGGGGAAGCCGCACCTGTATCCCAGTGGACAAAGCTTGTGCTGAGAGAGCACGATTCAGACTAGAATCTGACAGGAGTGGGAGCCCGTGTCCGCCCTCGCTCTAGAGGCTGCGGCGACTGGTCTCAGCCAGGAGGCAGACACAGCGCAGCGGCATAGAACAGAGTGACTGGAGAGGAAGACCCAGCCGAGCAGAGGCAGCAGTTATTCCACCCACGAGGGAGCCCAGCCCGCCCACCCATAAGCCAAGAGATGAGTGAGACACAGAGGTGAGCACCTCTCTCCAGACCAGCCGGTGCTGCACCAGGAGGGCCGACAGAGCCCCAGCCCACACCACAGCAGTCACGGCTGATGGCCCTCCAAGAGAACTGGACGCCACAGGCCTGGACAGCGGCCCTCTGGGGGCCTCGACTACAACTTTGTCAGCAGAGACAGCAGCAGTCACCCAGTCCCAGCCGTCACAGGGCCTGGGAGGCCACTTTCCACCACGTGTACCTTTAGAAAGACTTTGTGTTCCCACTTCATAGATGACACTTGATTGAGGGCTCTGTGTAGTGTCTTGTTCAATGTGCACAGCCTCTCCAGGTAATAAATACTTGATTACCTGCCTTATTTCACCAAGTGGGGAAACAAGGCACAGAACCAGGGCCCAGACTCAAGTCCTCTGGGGCTCCAGGCTGCTGCGTGCACACAGCCGCCCCTGTCTTACGGGTGGAGGGCTCTGCCTGTGAAAGCATCCACTTACACATTCCATTCTGTTACAAATACTTCTAAGTGTGCCTACTAGAAATCGTTTTGAGGTCCTACCTGAAGACACGAGGAAAGCTGCTGCCACCTCCATTCCTTCCCGGCGGCCTGTGTGGTCCAGAGTGGCCACAGTCCCATGGCTAGGTGTCCTCTTCAGGCTGTAACTGCCTCGGACATGGGGCTGGGTTTGTCTGCAAGAGGTTTCCTGGAAACAGATCACACTGATAGTCACCCAACAGCAACCTTGCAGGACAAGCCAGATTAGCCCGTGCTCCCTTAACTGTGGGGCATACAGGCCTGGGCACTGCAGCTCTATGACCATTGACCCCTTCCTTTCTCCCCACTTGTAGGTTCTTAATCTCCGGGCCTACCCTACAAGCTCAGATTAAGTCCACCCTGGCTGCATGTAGAACAGTGGCTCTCAGACTATGGTCCCTGGGCTCACCTCATCAGACTTCCTGGCTGGAGCCCAGGAGACTGCATGTTGGCCACCCCTCCGTAATCCTAATAGAAGCTAAAGTGGAGAACTGTTGACTGAGAGGAACAGGGACTAATGTCCCTTCAGTCAGAGTTACACATCCTCTAGGGCAGAGGAGTGGGAAGCTGGGAGAGAAGGTCTGTGTCAGAAAGTGCTGGGCACAGGTGCAGTGGCTGGCCTGCTGGGGGCGCCCCAGAGAGGCCCCGCCACGTCTCTATACCACACTGTCTCCCCTGGCTTGGGCAGAGCAGCCTCAGAGTGGCACAAGGGCAGCTCACAAAGCCGTGCCCAGAGCCAGCTCCAATGGGGCACACGCCAAAGGAGGTGAGCTGTGACCATCAGGGCACACAACAGAGGCCCTCACCTCAGCCCAGCTCACCTGTGCAGGTGCAGGCAGGGACGCCCAGGAGGGCATCGTTAGTGTGGTGTCTGGGGCTGGTGGAGCCTGGTCTTGGGCTTTCAGTGCAGAGGCAACACCTCCCAGTGCTGCCCAGCCCCTATCTAGCCAGGTGGTGTGTACAGGCCGAGCTCTGCCTGGTCAGAAGCCCCTGGAGTTCCTGGCCTGAGTGTAGGCTACCCCCAACGGTAGGTGGAGCTCTGTGGTCCTGCCACCGCCCGCCCCCGCCCCGCGACCCCACTCCTGCCTGTCTGCCCAGCGGCAGCTGCCTCCTCATGCTTTTCTCATCAGGATCGGAACAAGTGGGATCGTTTTAATTGATGAGTTCTCTGGACAGCATCTGTATTTACAGCAGGAAAATAAACATTTGCTCTTTGTGAGATGCTTCAAGGGGGCCCTTATTCGGGTGACCCTCGGACCCTGTGCCTGCACACTCGCCCCCAAAGTGGGCCTGGTCCCCCTTTCAAGAATGGGGGGTGGGGAAGGAAGGAAAGCCCCACAGCACACTCAGCAGAGAGAAGCGCCAAAACAGCAGGTCGGCTTTATTTCATGCAGTCTTTCCAGCCAGTGTCTTGTCCTGGACAGCATGGCCTCTGTGCTTCTTGACTCCTGTGAGGAGAGTCAGGGCAGCTGAGCCAGGCTTGTGAGAACAGCAGCTTCCCAGGCTGAGCCTGCGGTCCAGAAGTAGGGATGAGAAACTCGTCCTGCACCGTTCCCACCACCCTCCACCCCAGGCCACCTGTTAGTCAGCCCAACTCTGCGGGTGCACAGAACCCCCAGGGGGTCCTCATGCGGAAGCTGCCTGTCCGGAGCACCGTCCTGGCCAGAACACCTCTGCAGCTCTCCCTCAGCTTCTGACCCTGGTCTGGTCACAGGCTCATGTATGCTGGCTGCCTGGCAGGAATGCCCTGTGCTCGGTGCAGGGGACCTGTGAGGGAGCCCCAACTCTGGGGTGCACCTACTACAGCCTGCAGGCTCCTCTGCACAGACTGGGAACAGGCCTGGGGTGATTGCCCGTGTCATCTAAGAGTGAACTTCACTTTCGAAGCATTCAGGAGTTAGTAGGGGTCCATTATCAGGCTGAGTGAAGCCCTGTTTGATCAAAAGCAAGTTGCAAGAATGGTTTTCTCCTCGGCTCTGAAAGGCCCTGAATGCTGACAATAGAGTAAGTGTGACCCTCCAAAAGAAGCTACGGTGGTGCACATCTCACAGCACTTAGCGAGTGAGCCAGGGAGAAATCCTGTACCTGACATCTGAAAGCCTCTCGTCTGGCAGCAGGTGCACCATTCGAAGGAAAGTCCCAACTGAAACTGGCAAGTTGGCCCCACACTTCAGACTCCAAGGTCAGGTCGGATGGGAGACGGGAGACCTGCAGATGAACAAAGAAATCCCCGTGGATTCCAGCCCCTCACTCTTGCCCTCAGGATCCTGAACTGTAAACTAGGATCAGTAAGAGCTTGAATCCAGGGCCACTGGCTCCAAAGGCCACGTTATCTCCCTTAGACTGAGCCTAGTGCCACAGTCCTGGATCCTGTGGGTCCCACACCTGCAGTGTTGCCCAGGAACGGCCTGGGCACACACAGAGCAAACAGTGCTTATCCTGTTAGTCCTGCCTTCAGATTCTTGCCTGAGTTCTGAGCCACGTGACGTTTACTTTAAATGGAATTGTATGTGAATTCACATCAGTTTGGCCTGGAGACTTGGATGCTGTCCCTTGGGATGAAGAGCCTACTTGTCCCAGAGTTGTTCCCTCACACAGCTCCCTGACACTCAGGCCGATGGGGTGTCCAAGCTGGTTGTGCTGGGAGGAGGATACTCGGCACCCATGAAATCTGAAGGCCCATGGGGAGGGTGCAACCCTCTACCGTGGACAGGACGGAGGCTGGAGCTTCCTGGAGAAGCTCCAGCCTCCATTACCCCTGAGACTGAGCCCCCCGGGGAGACTTTGGGAGCCTGGGCTGTATCTCAAGCCCCATGCTAGTCCCAGTGATGTTGGGAAGAGAACCATGAGTGTTCACACTGCCCACAAGAGACGGTACACACCCACACGTCGCGAAACACAGACCCTGTCGCCTTGCTAACTGCCTCTCAGAAAGCTTCACGGCACGCCCCTGTTGGAGCACACAGCATACTCTCCTGCAGGTCACAGTTCGCTGCCTCATCCTCCCCCTGCCTGCTGGCACTGGGCTCACACCTGTGTCCGAGCGGCCAGAGGCTGAGGGCCGCTCGTGAACCCCGACACAGCTCCAGCCACCTCAGCACAGGGAGCTCGAGGGGCTCCTGGAGGGAGGAGGTGGCTGGGGAGGGCGGGCCCGTGGCCGCCACGGCCCCTGTAGTTGCTGAGCCCTCGCTCTCTCTCTCACAGGAACGGTTTTCCCAAGCAGACGGCAGCTCAGCTGATCCTGAAGGCCATCTCCAGTTACTTCGTGTCCACAATGTCCTCCTCCATCAAAACGGTGTATTTTGTGCTTTTCGACAGCGAGAGTATAGGCATATATGTGCAGGAAATGGCCAAGCTGGACGCCAACTAGGCTGAGGAACTGCAGGCCAACCCGCACCATGCCTCCGCCTCCAATTTGAAAGAAAGAAAAGAAAAGGAAAAAAAAAAATCCCCTCCACTCCTAGTGGGAGGCGGGAACCCTTTCATTTTTTTCCCCCCCAGTTTTGCTCATCTAGGGAAAATAAGGTTTTGGTTTCCAGTTTGTTTTTGACCTTCTAAAATGTCTTTACGTTAGCACTGATAGTTGACATTATTGTTGTTAAGCACTGTTCCAGACCGTGTCTGACTTTAGTGTAACCTAGGAGATTTTATAGTTTTATTTTAATGGAATCCTGCCTGACGCAGAGCAGTGGGGAGAGCAGGGTCTTCTGCGTGGGGCAGAGTGCAGGAAGCCCGTTTTGTAACCGTGTGTCGTGGTGCTTTATTGTACACCCAGTGGCGTTCTTTTTACTATAATGTTCCTTTTTCCCTCCCCTCAAGAAGAAAAATCATGAATTTGCCGCAGACTTAATTTTTGTTTACTTTTTGTCTTAATGTTGGATTTGAAAAATGAAAGATTTAAAAGGCAGAACAGAATCTGTTGTCCTTAATTATATTTGCAATTTGGGATTTGTGTGAATTGATTTAGTAAAATGTTAAACTGTTCTGACCGGTGTGTCCCAAGTTACTGTACCCTTGAGTCCTAAGTTGGTTCCTCCCATCACAGGAATGGGGGACCCCGGGTTGGGTAGCCCACCCCCGAGAAATACTGCAGTAGTCACTGCACCCCTGGGGTAGGGAAAGCAGCTTCAGACCCTGATGGTTTCTAGGGGGGAGTTTGTATAAAGTCTCCTTTCATCCCGTGACGCTGGGCAAGGGTGAGATCCCATTTCATGGATGAGAAAGCAGATGTTCCAACAGCCATGTGGGTGGCAGGTGGCAGGTGGCAGGCTGGTCCCGCAGCCTGGATCTCTAGACTCTGAGCTCAGCTTTCTCCTGCCACCTCCTCCCTCCTGACCATCTCTCTGAGTCATGGGTGAACCCAGAGCCTCTGGGCCACTTACTTGCCAGATGGAGTGACAGAAGCCTTGAGCCCTCAACTCAGGCCATGCTGGTTCCTACAGGATGGGGTCCCTGTTACTGGGAGCTTTCCAAAGGCAAGGAAGGTGCTGTCACCGAGGCCCCCATCATGCTGCCAGTTTTTACACGCCTGCCTGCAGCTGTGGGTGTTTAGGGATGATCCCTACCACGCTGCTGCTGCTGCTGCTGCTGCTGCTGCTGCTAAGTCGCTTCAGTCGTGACTGACTCTGTGCGACCCCATAGACGGCAGCCCACCAGACTCCCCCGTCCCTGGGATTCTCAGGCAAGAACACTGGAGTGGGTTGCCATTTCCTTCTCCAATGCATGAAAGTGAAAAGCGGAAGTGAAGTCGCTTAGTCGTGTCTGACTCTTAGTGACCCCATGGACTGCAGCCTACCAGGCTCCATCCATGGGATTTTCCAGGCAAGAGTACTGGAGTGGGGTGCCATTGCCTTCTCCGCCCTACCACACTAGAGTAGCGAAACTCTGGCTATCTCAACTCGTTAGCAAAATGCAGAAACTCTGTGCTTCAGAAGGTACATTCACCTTAATCTAAATTTGCCTAAAAGGCACAGAAGACTGCTTTCGTCACTTTAAAAAAGAAACGTGCCTGATTCTAAAGCAGACTTTACCCAGGAGGAAATATATAGCACACTGCATATCTTGGATGGATGTAAAGGATTGTTTTTCCTTTCCAAACTGTGCCTAAGGAAATAAAAATAGAATTCCTAAGCCATCACACAACCAGCCTTTTCAATGAAAGAGCAGCTACAACCCTTCTCACTCAAACCTGATTTTTTGAAATTTTGCTAAACATAAGGTGTTATTAAGACTTATATTTTTTCCCCAAGATCTTTACTATGTCTAGATTACATATTCCTACTTATTCATTATATTTTGGCAAAAAGAAAGTTTTTTTTTTTTTTTAAAGATGCATCTTGGGATTAACGTATACACACTACCATACATAAAATAATCAAGAAAGACCTACTATATAGCACAGGGAACTGTTCAGTATGCTCTAATAACCTAAATGGGAAAATAATCTGAAAAAGAATAAATACATGTATAACTGAATCAGTTTGCCGTACACCTGAAACCTAACATTGTTAGTTGACTATTGTCCAAAATAAAACAAAAATTTAAAAATAATAAGAAAAAAGAAGATGCATCTTAAAATGATATCATTCCATCAGTAATATCCGCACACGTCTGCCTGAGTAGCCTTTCACCCAAGAGTAGGGCCTGTGTAGGTGAAGTCTGTGATGTGGACGCTGTGGCCCCTAGGAGCTGGTTATTGACTGTGTCAGGCACTGTGTTGAGTGTCTTACAGGTATCATTCATTCTGTCCTTGTGACAATCCTGTAGGGCGGGTCCTTTTGTTAAAGCCATTTTACAGCTGAGAACACAGACTGGGAGAGATTGAGTACCTTGTGATCACACTGCTAATAAGTGATAACCAGATTTAAACACAGAAATGCTGACCACCATGTCAGGGCCCAAGATGGCATGCTAATCAGCAGCAAAGAGAGGCCATTTGGCCTCGGCGCAGTTTTCAACTCAGAGACTGAAACAGATGGAACAGAGGTATAAGTGGTTTCTAGGTAAATGGCATTTCCTTCGCCCTGGAAAAGGAACACCTTAAAAACTAGTCCTGTGTTTATCAGAGATCGTCCACTAGATGTCACTCGAAGGATGGGAAGCCAAGAGAGGAAAGCGCTGCAGGTTTCTGCTCTTCGAGTTTGCACAAAAGAATACTGCATTCGTCAGGATTTGTGTGAATTATTTACCATAATCACCTAAGTGTTTCTAAACTTCCGATAATCCAGAGTGTGTCTTGCCCCTGAAATGTGGGCTCACTGAAGAAATTCTTTTCAGTGACACTGAGGGAAAGCGCACCAGCCCCTCGCCTGGGATCCCCATCATCTCTAAACAACCCTGTCTGTTTTCAGAACGGAGATCAAAAACTGTTCTCTGATGTCGGCCTCGTGTTTACAGGGGAAAAAGAAAACAGCTCATTACTTTAAAAAAAATGGTATGAGTGCAAGGAACCACTTGCAACGTACACAGACCTCAAATGCAAAGACAAGTCTGCAGTTAGTAAAATTTACCAGAAGTGAGATTATTCTGGGACGGGAGAAACCTGCAGCCTCTGCAGAGGTAAGGGCTCTCCCGGCCTCCCTGGTGCTGTGAGCTGTGTTGGAGGTGAGCTTGCAGTGAGCAGGGAGGGAGCCACTCACCCCACAGTCACACGGCCACATGGCCACCATGCCTGAGCCCCAGCCCGACCTCAGGATTTCAGCCGGCAACGCAGCCTGTGCCGGTGGCTGGGCAAATGACACCCCCTCCTGCTTGTTTCTGAGGAGCAACCTTTGCCCTCGGCAGCTGGGCTCTGCCCCGAATAACCCAGGCGATTTCGTCAGAAAGCCTATGAGCTTCTTTAAATGACATCGGAGATCTAAACACAGCGCCGTGGCTCCAACAGGGACCACACTGACAATAACTACTGTGTGTGTGTGTATGCGTGTGCATGTGCATGTGCACACGTGTGTGTACTGGTCCTCTATATCCATCATTTCATCTACTTCTCATGGCAAGCCTAGGAAGTTGATCATACTCTCCCTATTTTACAGATGAAAAAATTACAACACAGAGAGGTGAAGTGTATCCCCCAAGCTATCAGTGGTGGAATGGGGTCTGAACTCAGCTGTCTGCGTCTACAGATAGAGTTCTTCCCGTCCCCTCTGCCCTGGGGACTGGCCCCTCCTATGGTATGCACTCCCAAATTTTGCTCCAATGAGACATGGCTTCTTGCCTATTCAACTGCTAGGTCCTACACAGCTGGCCTGGGGGTATACCCAGGACCTGGATGAGAGGCAAACAGAAACATGTATTTAAAACAATCCAGTGGCTTCCCAGGTGGCACAGTGGTAAAGAATCTGCCTGCCAATGGAGGAAGATGCGAGAGACTCAGGTTCATTTCCTGGGTCAGGAAGATCCCCTTGAGTAGGAAATGGCAACCCACTCCAGGATTCTTGCCTGGAGAATCCCATAGAGGGACAGAGCTGGCGGGCTCCAGCCCCGGGGTCTCGGAGAGTCAGACAACTGAGCACACAGCACGCATGCACAGTGGGCTTCAAGGACTCACTGGGTGCTTACTCTGGCTGAGGCTCAGACCAGGGCCTCCACAGGGACGGGTGAGACGCTGCCTCTGCCCAGCAGTGTGGGTGACCCACAGACTTAGCCACTGTGTGGGCAGGGGCTTGGCAGGGGGAGCTGCACCCATGGGCTCACAGTGCTCAGGGAGACTTTCTTGGAGCAGATAACCTACAGCCAGGCCATGTGGGGAAGGTTGGAATCATCTAGGCCAAGAGAGCCAGGTGATAGGGATGAGCGGCAGGACAGCACACAGGCATCTCTGTCCCAGCCGGGGAAGCTCACTGTCTCTCTGAGCTGGGAAGCCTGTGTCTGCGGCCTGCTCACAGCCAGGGAGCCACGCCAGCCCTAGCTCTGCCCCCATCCCTGCCCCCCGCATATGGAGCTGTCCATCCGTGGATGTGTACCTGGGTCAGAGGACTGTGTTTAGTCCTAGATACAATTAGCCCTGACAGAGAAAAGAAGGCAAGAGAAGAGAAAAAGGAAAGGGAAGGGATGGGAACAAGAGATGCACATAATTGCCCTCTCTCATTCCATCACATCCCTCAAAACCCTGAGGCCCCACGGCTGGTCTGTTCTTGAGTCTGGCCTTCCTGGAGAGGGTGGCAACCTGGACCAGTGGATTCAGGGGGTCGGTAGCCCCCTTGTTCGCTTCTGTGTCATGCAGGCTGCATCCTCAGTCACCCTGAGTGGTCCAGCTCTCATCAGAGGCCACGGTGGCTGGGGGATGGCATGGCCCATTTATTCTTTAGCAACCATGGTGTTTAATTTTCACGGCCAGGCGCCACTGACCGGTGTTATCTTGGGAGCTGGCCTCGGTGCCGCCTCGGGGCGATCCACCTGAAGGCATGGGGGGCGGGAGGAGGGTCCCGGGCCAACCCTGGCCGAGAAGAAAGGGAAACGCTCAATGGCAAAGGGTGAGGCCGCCTTTTCTTTGGCTTTTCTCCCATTTATAACCTGGCCCGTTGTGTTTGCTTCTGGGGGCCCCGATATCAAAATAATATCGCATGACCCTCCTGACAGGCAAGGCAATAAAACTGCTCATTAATCCCGGCCCCCATCACCACCCCTCCATGCTCCTCAGCAAAGGTGTGTAAATAGACTGGCCTTTCCCTGACCCCTGAAAACCAACCCAGCCGGGCGCCTTTGTCAAACTCAGAGAAAGAATCTCAGAAACTCTCTCTCCATGGACGGCACTTTCCCCTCACTCCCCTACTCCCACCCAAGTGACCCACCATCACGCACATGTTCACTCACACCCATGCTCACACGTGTACACACACACCCTCCCACACACGTGCACGTGCTCACTCTCTTTCACCTAAGGCGGGAGACTCCAGGCCCTGTGTGTCAGAGGGGACAAAATCAAGGGACAAGCAGAGAAACATCCACCTTGAACAGAATCAGCCAGGACTCTCTGCTGTATAAGACAGCTTACCTTCCTGCTCAGCAAAGCCCTCCCTGGCCTGTTTCACCTTTTGAATGTGCATCTTCTGCTAACACTCCCTTGAGTGTGCTTAGAAGGGGCACCCACTGTTCGCCAGAGCCCACTGGGGCCCAGCGCCCACAGCAGAGGGGGCACCATCACATGCCCTGGAACACATGCTGCAGGTAATGTCATCACTGATGAGAGGCCACTCTTGAGTCCTGAGCACAGTCCTGGTATTACAAGGTAAGGGTCACTGTTTGCACTGTGGGTTTATGATGACACTTTAGGGAGGCTTTCCTGGTGGCGCAAATGGTAAAGAATCTGCTGGGAGACCTGGGTTTGATCCCTGGGTCCGGAAGAGTCCCTGGAGAAGGGAATTGCTACCCAGTCCAGTATTCTAGCCTGGAAAATCCCATGGACAGAGGAGCCTAGTGGGGTCGCAAAGAGTTGGACACGACTGAGTGACTAACATTTTCACTTTTCACCAGGGAGGGCAGAAAGCTCAGAGTCCCAGGACGACACCCTCCAAGTCTTCTTGTGTCTAAATGTAGGAAACCAGAGCCATGACCCCAACACAGAAGAACGTGGCCCCAGGATGCAGGTGACCCAGGCGAGCCAGTCACATGTGCCTTGCTGGAAGGAGTCCCTTCCAGGCCGAGTTCTTGGGCAGCGACCTTGATTCCAATGACCTGGGATGTCACATGGCCCCCAATTTCCATATACAACCTTCCCACAGATGAGCCTCGCTTCCCAGGCAAGAACCCTGGTATCCTCCTAGCCAGGCTGATGGCACAGTCCCCACCGACCAACACAGCTGGCCCAGGTTGGGCTCCAGGCCTGACCTTCTCGACACATTCACCTATGCACACCATGCCCAGGCTGGCTGGGAAACCTGATATTTCTGTACCTTGAAACGACAAAGCTTCCTAAGCTTAGGAGAATAAATTAGAGTTGAGTTCAAGGAGGCTCAGCTGCGGCCGATGGGCAAATTGATTTGCTTCCCATCTGGGAGATTAAATTCCACTGCCCCAAAATGGCAGCAGGGTAATGAGCTGTCAGTCAAACACTGCAGAGCCGGGGCCAGGCGCCTAATTGAACCCTGGCAACTCCTCATTAGGGCCCCTCAGGTCTGAGCTATAGATTCCCACCTTGAGACAGCCTCCAAGCCCCCAAAGAGAAGGCACTTACTTACTTGGTCCTGCCACACAGCTTCTGTAAAGAGATGCCACCTTGGGCAAAGGCTGGACCAACTTCAGAGAACTTAGACTCAGCCAAGTGCTTATGACATGCTTGTCAACAGCCACTGATGGCCCCTCCAGGATTTAATTATGAGCAGATCCTAACACCTGGAGGATGCTGACAGCATCCATTGAGGTCCTATCCAGGGACCCTCACTTCCCAGGGGCCCCTTAGCTGAACCCTCCTCTGCCTCAAGTGTCCCCAGTAACCCCAGGGCTTCTCAGAGGGCAGTGCTCTGAAACCATCACCACACCCCATCACTTGGCCCTTTCCAGAATGCAAGACTTGCATACACACAGAGGGTTCAATCCTAACACACCAGGGTGATGCTCGATGTCTCATAAAACCGTTAAGGATATGAGACCATCCATGGAAGTTTTAAAAGCTGTCTTCGAAGTCGAAGTCCACCTCCGCCCCTCTTTATACCTGTCCTGTCTGTTTCAGGCCACTCATATCTTGCTTGCAAGACTTGGCGTGTGTCAGTTCCTCGGCCCAGAACACATTACTGCTGGCTTTGTGTAACCCTGCTCGACCTTTCAGGTCTCTTCTCTTGCCCTTCCACCTCCTCCAGGAAGGCCTCCCTGACCCCACCATCCAGCGGAGTGTCCTCCCTCGGTGTAGCCTGCACACCCACCAGTGACAGCACTGTACCTACTGGACAGCTATCAGGAGCTGACATGGCCATCTCCCCATCAGACAGCAAGTTCATTCACACACATCCCCAGAGCCCTCTGGGCCAAGCACCGCACTCAGCTCTGATGTGCAGCAGTGAGCAAGCAAAGAAGACCCCACCCTCCCTGAGCACCCTGCGGCACCCTCAGTGCATCACCCCAGGGAAGAAGGGAAGAGGGACTCTCTCTCAGGGTTGCACAAATCACGGTCAAGCCGAGCCTGCTGGAACCTCAAAGGCCAACCAGCAGTCAGAGCACCTGACTCAGAGGGGAAGCAGGAGGAAGACCCAGGCACATGTGCCCACTCCTGGAGCTCCGGTTCTGGAGCAACACCCTACTGGGTCTCTGGCTCCATGCGTGCACAGAGAGGCATCAGAGTGAAGTCCGATGTTGCCACTAGACTTTGACCCGCACCAGCCAGCCACACAGCTAATGGCAGCCTGGGTCTCATGGTATCTGCTGTTTCCGCTTCCCTGGATCTTGATTTGAAAAGGGTGTGGACATGGAAACTTTCCGGCTAGATGCTAAATTCACAGTATCAACAGACAGGGACAGCAGCGGAAAATGTGTGCAGGAGAAACCTCTGTGTGATGGTGGCCAAGAGCCCTGGCCTGTGTGCCAGTGAGGCTGCGGTCACACCTTTCACAGGCAAGGGTGCAAGCCTATTAACCCCAGGGCAGGTGTCCTGGATGGGCCACGGGCAGCATTTCCTGATGACCCCGACATACAAGCCTGAGTCAGGAAGCATCTCACAGCCCCAGCCCTGGGACAGGACAGCAGGTCCTGCGGCAGCTCAGTCCAAGGCCTGGATCCTGGTTCCGTCAGGCTCCACACCAGCAGAGTGAGGCTGTGATCACAAGCTCATGGCACTCGCTGGCCCTGGTGAGTCTTCAAATGCCCTGGACAGGACGTGGGTCCGACCGTGCATTGCTCAGACCACCAGGGCGCAGGGCAGGGTCACCTGATGCCGACCGCTCAAGACCCTATCTGCCACCCCCACGCTCGGGCGGAAACCACACCAACAACACAAGCAGGGATGCGATCATGCACGGAGAAGCCGCAGCAGTGTGGACGCTAGGAACACCAAGGAGGCTGCACGCGTCCTCTCGTCGGAGCTTCCTAATGACCCTGACAATGAGCAAGACTATCCCCACACTCTCAGTGAGGAAATTTGCATCAGAGAGGTGAAGTGACTTGGCCAGACCACACAGCAGGAACCTGGCTGAACAGGATTCAGAACCAGGAAGGAGGCCCTCTCAAGTCAACTCTTGCTCATTCTAGAATGCCTAACAATGGCCGCATAAGGTACATTACCCCCATTTCACAGATGAGGAAAACTGAGGAGGATGGAGATCGGCACCTTCCAGGAGGCCATCGAGCCAGGGAGAGGCTGGCCTCGGGCGTCCTCCTGGGCAGAGAACGGGGGCTCCAGCAAGGCCTTCACTGACAGGAAGCAGCACTGACTGCTCCTCTGCAGGCCGGGGACCTGGCCGGGGCCTTCCAGTAATTAGTGGGCTCTTGTTAAGACCCAGTCGCGCCGTGCCTGGGCCAGGACTTGTTTTTGTTCCCAGGCGAGGCCCTCGCAGGAAGGCCAGGCGCACGTGCGCAGCCCCATAAATCCAGCCGGCGTCGCTCATTACAACGTTCCGCTTCACGACTCTGCCGCCCCAGCCGCTCGGGCTTCGCGGCCGCCGGGCCTCCCTGCAGCCCAGCTCGGCCGCCCCGCGCCGCCCGCGGCCTCAGACATGAGCTCATCCAGCGCGCGGCGTGTGAGGAAGTGGCCGGGCGGCGCTCTCGGCAGTGAGGGGACAATGTGCCCATTAAGGCTGTCAGCTGTCAGCCCCCCACCGCCCCCCCAAACACCGCGCCCCCTGGAGGCACGACCACCCCACTCCGGGACCCGCCCACCCTCCAGTGCACGAGGATGCACCCCGGGGTGGGGCCTGTCCGCTCAGGGGCCGAGGGTGGCCGCAGGAAGTGGAAGCAGGGTTGCAGGGGGGCAGGGGGAGAGGGGCGTGGGAGAAGTGGGCTCAGACACCTAGCCCCTGATCTCCATCCTGCCGCCAGTGACTGTCCACCTCTCTGTGGGGTCTTGGGCAGGTCCCCTGACCCTCTGAGCCTCCATCCCCACAGCTGTTGATGGGAAACCATGCCTTGCCTGGCCAGGAAAGCTCCACTCTGCAGCCTGCGACCTTGAGCCTCTGTACTTTGGTGTCTGTCCAGTCAATGCAAAACCTGGCTCATTCTTTATCTCTGTGGTCTGAGGAACTGCTAGGGGATGAAGCCCCGACAAGTCACCCTGCCTCTTCGGGGGGTGGTCTCATCTGTTAAAATGGAGTTGGCAGCCCAGTGTCAGGGACAGATGCTCCATCAAAGTGAGCTACTTCTTCCTCTGCTCTGGTTCCCATAAAGGTCAGAAGCCACGTGGCTGTCATGGCTAGAATCCAAACTCTGGCTAGGGTCAGTGTTTGACAGTAGCCAGCTCATCTCCATGTGGCTTAGCTTCAAGGGAATGTGGCCACGTGGTTAACAATATCATGGTAAATTCTAACCCAGCATTGTGCATGGCTGAGGGGCTGCAGTCATTGGCAAGCCCCTCCCCATCTCGTGTTACCACAGCACAGAGAGGAGCTGGGCAATGCCCAGTTTGGAGGGAACCTTCTAGAACTGTGCCATCCGGTGTAGCTGTGCCGTTAGCTACATGTGGCTAAACACAATAAAATTAAGAATTCAGCTCCTTGTTTTCACTGGTCACCTTGTAAGTACTCAGTAGCCAGGCAGCTCTGTTCTAGAACATCAGTCCACGGAGCCCTTCCAAGCAACATCCCAAGATTTTCATACCATTTAGCGTATGGAGCGACAACCGTGGCTGAGGCCTTTCCACCAGCAAATGTTTCTATGCTGCCAATAATGACAGAGACAGGGACTGATAATCGTGCTGGTGGAAACAGTGAAATCCATGCACTGATGCTTCCTATGTTCCAGACACGGCTGCATGCCTCATACTTGTATTACATTTAACCCCTACCTTCCAAACACGCTCCAGTTAGTGACATACCTCCATTTTACTCAAGACAACATGGACTTAGAGCTCAAGCAAGGCAGAGGGACACAACCAGCTCCAACTGCACAGCCGGCCTCCCCTCAGATGCGGATTTCCGTCTGACCCTCTGTGCTTTGACTACATTTGCACCCAGAGGAATGCCTCCTCCTTCCCGTAAGTGCCAGTTCCCTTCTGGGCTTTCACATAGCTTTGAATGTTTCTTCCTCTCAGGAAAGCTCAGCCTTATCTGTGAAGACCCCTCCTGGCTGCCCCAGGCAATCAGGCCCCCGAGTTCCTAGAGGGACCAGCTCAGTGGGCCTGCCCATGGCCAGGGACCGTGGGGGCAGACGATGGATGAAGCCCCCAGCTGTGCTGACAGCCCCCTTCAGGGAGTGTGGCCCTCTGCAGGGTCAGGTCAGTGGGGTGCAAAGAGGCAGGAGGTGTCAGGTGAACACACCACTGTATGTACTTGTGAGCAGGAGGCACTCCTGCCCCAAGCCCTAGCTGTGGCCCATGCCAAGGTGCAGGGTGCAGGACAGGGCAAAGGTGGCCAGGCCCTTGGCATGAGCCCCAGAACCTTCGTTCATTTGTGTATCAGTCACTGAACAAGGGATTGCCAGGCGTTGGGCTCAGACAGCCCACAGGCCTCAGGCGGCCCCTGAGTCGGGACCCCTCTGCCTGCTGTTATGCGTCCACTGCAGCCATGCTGGCTAAACCAGGGCTTCCGGGCTTCAAGCTGAGGGGATCACACCCCCATGCTGGAGGCAGAGGGATGGACCGTGCTGTCCCCAGGGCCCAAGTCTATGTGTGTCTCGCTGAAGCCCTAGGACTCCGGTTTAAGAGCCTTTTTATAGACTTCTATAAAGGAGAAAGTGAACTTTTAACATGTTTGCACTCCACTAAGTCAATATGCATAAAAGGGACAACAGCTGAGCTTCCTCTGCCCAGGTGCCGTCCAGCAGGGCTGGAGGGCAGCGTGGGTACCACCCGGCTGCCGCGGGCATCTGTGGCTGCTTCTCCTCACCTCTGGGCCTGCAGCATGGCACCCACTCAGCAGGCCACTGCCCACCAGACCATGGGCAGGCACTAATGAAGCCGGAAAGCCCTCCCTGGCTGGGCTAATGGGTGGCTCCTGCCCTCACTCGGCCGAGACGGCCCCCCAGACGCACAGTTTTCATGGGAAGATTTAGAGGAGGGGAAATGCGGAAGCTGTAAAGTTTTACTAGGAATTCTCAACCATCCTCCCTTGGCCCCGACACTCATGCTGCCCTTCATTTTTAAGAGAGCTTCCTTTCTACTTTGAACTTACCCCTTAAATCTAAGCACCTCCGTGCCCGCCTCCAGGATCCAGGATCTGGACTCAAACTCCAGTGATGCTCGCCCAGGAGGAGGAGGAGACAGCTTGGACATCCCAGAGGGCCTTCTCCTGCCCAGCCTCACCCTGGAAGAATCCCCGAGGGCGCTGTCTGCCTGCCATCATGCCAAGGTCACAGAAGCCACGGTTTCACGCCTGTGATAGCATGTATCTCGGGTCAGGTTTGCAGACATGCACACAGCTTTTCTCTATTCACTCATTTGCATGAGCACCTACTAAGTACAAGGCCTCCTGGGCACTTGGTGAGCATGAACTTAGTGGTCAAGAACGCAGACGTTTGAGTTGATTTCTGGGATCAAGTTCCAGCTTTGCCACTTACAAGCTGTAACCTTGGATAAGTCACTTAGCTTCTTTGAGTCTATCATTTGTCTCTAAAATAGGAACAGTGATGTCCGCAACACATACACACACCCACCATGAGGTTGCTGTGACTATTATGCCGCAGTGCAAGCTTCCCAACTGGGCTTCCCAGGTGTGCTACTGGTAAAGAACCCGCCTGCCAAGGTAGGAGATGTAAGAGACATGGGTTCAATCCCAGGGTCGAGAAGATTCCCTGGAGTAGGAAATGGCAACCAGCTCCAGTATTCTTGCCTGGAAAATCCCATGGACAGAAAAGCCTGGTGGGCTACAGTCTATGGGGTCACAAAAAGTCGGACACCGCTTAGCATACACATACACACACAGTGCACTCCATAAATGGTAGCTTCAAGCCTAATAGCTCCATGAGGAAGACACCAGTCTCCCCTTCTGGAGAAAAAGGGAAGTGAGACACTCACATGGGGGAAGGAGACAGAACTGGGTTTAAATCTCAGTTCTTTCACACTCCAAAGGCCACAACCATGAACTCTTTAGTACAGAACACTCCAGGCTGGAAAGCCAAGCAGGCCCTTCAATCAGTAAGAAACACTTAGCATCATGAAGCTTAGCTGGAATTTTGTAATCAGCAACGATACAAAGGAACCATTTTCATTTGAGTTGGCGATGATTGGGGGGGGGTGGTAGTGGTTTTATTATAATGCTTTCAGGGATCAGGGAGTTGGTCTAGTGTGTGGGGACCGTTTACCATCTGCTGCAGAAAATCAAACTCTTCCTCCGTGGGCTCAAACTCCAGAGTTAACTAACTATGGCTCCAAGAGCCCAGGCCCTGCAGCCAGCAGTGGAGGCCAGGCCAACAGAAGTCCTCTGGCTGTGCCCTCAGGAAGGGGTTGGGTGGGGAGGGATTGCAGGTAGGAATCCGGCTGCCTGGCATTCCTCTCAAAGATCTGACATCTCTCTGCCACATCCTAGTCTGGAAACACCTGGAAAATTGATTATCTCTTTGCAAATTCTGAGAACTATCTGCTAACCACCTTTAGGGAATTCTTAGTTTCTAGGAGAATTTCTTGAAATCATTCATGAAATATTTTCTCTTTGTTTCTGAATGAAGCAAGACCTCCTCACTGTAAAGTCATGTAAAACACAGGCCTGTGGCAATACTCAGGCTTAGAATCAACCAGTAGTATGAGGTAGAAGTCAGTGGCTGGATGCATGGGGAACCACCTGGGTAGCAGGTGGGGAAACTGAGGCCTCAGTGCAGAGAAACCACTCAAGACCGAGTTACCAGCTTCGTGTCAGTGCTGGGGAGGTAAGCGCCACTGTCTTGGTCCATTTGCCTTTCTGTCTTTGCCTCACTCTCCTTTATAACAGCCTTGAAATGCCCAAATCCCAAGGTTAATTGTCTGTGCTAAATTTTTCTTTAGATAAAGAGCTGATTTGTTTTTTCAAGTTTCTAAAATGTCAAGGAATGTGTGGATCAATCAGGTTCTGGGAGGAGGCCCCCCAGAAGCAAAGGCTGGCCTAGTCATGGAAGATTCCTAAGGCCTTAGCAAAAAGCAAAACACCAAAGCTGGCGCACCCCGCTCCCACCCCCTGTCCATCACCACAGCCTGCCATTTCCTCCAACAAAGCCAGCTGCCAATCGCATGCTATCTTCCTTAAGCCATGATGAAGGTATTGTTTAGGGCTTCTTCTCGGGTACACCAAAGCCAAAGGTGTTTCTGATAAAAACTCACAGATTCCACTCCTGTGCTGGCTTTCTCTAAAGGCCAGAAAGTGGAGTGAGTTGTCCTGTGTTCCCTGAGAGCACATGGAACCCATTTTTGGCTGGCACTCAGCCTTCTGGGAGCTCTGCCCTCTGGAACACTGATATAAAGCCAGAAATTGTTGACGGAGTGCAGCCA